TTATAATAAAAATTTTGAATTAAAGTAGTTATTTTAAAAGTTTGGGTAGTAGAATATAAACCAATTTTGTTGTATAATTCATCAAAGGGTTTTCAAGATTATCAAAAAAATATTTCTCAACGTTCAAAAAGAGAGATTGCACTCCAATGTTAGATATATTTTCTTCTTTATGTTTTTAAAAACTTAGCAGTATCCACAAAATAACTCTAATATTTCATCGTATTATAGGAATTGCATAAATGACATGCTTTAAATCTAACTGTTTCGCATGATACAAATATCAATTATCATAACACAATTGTAAATATTAATAAAATATTATAGTGTTCAACACAAGCTTGTGCATCAGTATTTTAAAAGTAGAGTATAAAAAATTAATTGCTAGAAAATATTATGTAATGCGAAACATAGGGTAATTGTGCTTCACATTATCTTTTTTGTTTGCACTACATTAAATGTTTCATGTAATACATTTAAGAACGTTGATATCAAACTAATTTTATGAATCAAAAAATCAAGCAATAAAGAAAAATGTCTCCTGTAAATATAGCGTTGAATGTAAATCACGAGAATTAAAATTATTGCTTATGAGAGGAAAAACAAACACTCAAAATTTTCAGTAATGTACTGAATGAATTTTTAGTAGTAAACTGTTCATTACTAAAAATTGGAGGTTGACATGCATTAATTTTAACTATTTTGCATGGCACAAATATCAAGTACGGCAATAAAATGTACTTAAAAAAATGCGTTAAATTTGGTGAAAAACCAAACATTTCATGCCAGAATCTTTCAGAAAGTTTTAGTAAAGTTCAAAACATTTAAGTGCGCATAAAAAAAATTTTATGTGATACACAATAATTATGCTTCAAATTATTTTTTATACTTTCACATGAAATTTAATGCTAAATATTAGGAATTAATAACATTTAAAAGAAAATTTTTTAATGTGCTATCATGAAAGTTGTTTCCAGTCAATATAGCATGAAATTTGATTGTTATAATTAAATTTATTATTTACGAATCAACAATCCTAGATTCCAATTTTTCAATTTTTCACTGATAATTTAAGGATCATTTGCTTTAAATATAACTCTTTTGCATGACACAATCGTCAAGCACTGAAATGGATTATTTATTAGAAATTCATCGAATATTACCAAGTATAAAAAATTTAATGGGCCAATCTTGAGATTATGTTTTTGTAAAGTTCTAAATATTTAAATGCATGTGAATCAAATTTTATTAAAAACACAAAAATTTCATTAACGATTTTTCGAATAACATTTTAGGAAAGTACGAAAAATTGATTGCACTTATACTTAATTTGATGTAAAATATAACGAAATACACATTTTAAGTATAAGAATTTATCTAGATATAATGGAATGTTTTGCATTTAATACTAATGTAGTACGCATTAAATTAATTTAATGTGCGATTATGAAAGCTGTTTCCAGCACATTCACATGATATTTTTTGTAAAAAAATTTTACAGTGATAGTGCAGAACGAGAAGATATTTTTGCTAGCTGTAGGTACATATCCCTTCAATAACAGCAACATCGTATTAAAAATGTATACGCTAAGATTTGTATACATGGATTTATGTGTAGATATACTACTTATGGACATTGATTCGTTACACGCAAATTTTGAAATTCACTAAGCAGACAGGTTATGTTACACAACTAATAATGAATGAGGAAATAGTATTTCAAATTTGGCGTGTAACGAATCGATGTCCAGCCACTGTATACTTCATACCAAGGAGCATGCAAGGACGCAAGGAGTACGCTTGGCGGTATATGTGACTTGTCTCTCAGTGTTCTTTCCATTCACTCGGTGTACTGACTACTGACTATACAGTATACAGCCTGCGCTTCACACACTCCACAAGGGCGCTATTATACCTATACCATGATTTGAGACTACAAGAGTGAGAGTAAGAGAGATAGAGGTCTTTTTCATACACATCTCTCTCACTCTGATGGGATCAAATGGTTTCGTATTGCACACCCCATGCCCCATGTGTAAATAAGTAAATCCCGTCTTCAGAGAGGGCATACTTATCCTCTCTACAGCTTAGTGATGTTAGCGCCGACGAGTTTTATTGGCTAAAGCCGTTTTGTTTCCAACTAATCAGAACTTCGGTTAATACCTGAGTGCAAAAGAGAAGGTAGACATTGAGAACATGGAAATATGTATACATAGTAATACTCCTGAGGGCTATTTTAAAACAAGTCAGCAGTTCATTTTCTAAGCACTCATATTACTAATTCAGCCTAAGGCAGTTAACATGAGATACATGTTGAACAAGTAAAAAACGAGAATTATTTGTTTTGCTGTCTCTCTTGCACTTACATAACATATTGCACTGGCTTTGGCTTAAATGTATATTACATTATACAAGTAATGAGGTACTGATACTACTGACAGCAGTAACAGTGTTTGTGGAACGCAGACAGGCACTTCAGTCACGACCAAGCCAAGAGCCGGCAAGAGCTGATACAGAACAGAGCGCCTTCTATCGATGATTGTGCAAACTGCGTCGAGCAGTGAATACGAGCGTCGTACTAGCACGCAGCAGAAAAATGTCAAACGTCATCGATGAACGACTTGTTTGCAAAATTCGATTCTGAATTAAGTACGCGTTGTTGCGTAGTTAGGTGCTTCCTATTCAACGTGAGACATTTGTCTGAACACCAACCTCTGTCGTGAGCCTGTGGCGATTCTATCTGAACAGGGGGCACAAGAAATGGCTGCAAAAGCCGTTCACTTAAGCAAGTGTGACACAGCAGGTAGCTTAACTGCTGCCCTGAAATCGCACTTCTAGTTTTACGAAAGTCGCAGCAATAGTCGCCAGAAAAAACGAGGGCTTAGAATACGGCATTAAGTGGACACCCCGGCTTTGAGGTATGTATATTACCATGAATCATGTAGTCCAGCATCTCGCTTGCTTATTGGCATCTCGTTTTCAATGTGTATTTAGTTTGCCTCGAGTGTGAGTACGCGCGTCGCAGTTCACTGGGCTCCATTGACAGCTCAAGTGGCTAGACGCGCACGCCCACATTATTACACTTGAGAAAATATTTTATTTACTCTCAACATTGTGTATTAACTGTAATTAAAATGTATGTGTTGAAATCTCAAGTGTAAAGATGAGAAATTAACATGGATAGCCTATTGACATTAACAGTAAGACAACATTTTGTGTCAGTACACAAATCTATTCATTTTCATTACAGATCCACGAAAACAAACTTAGAACTGTCATCGTGATATCATTGATATTGTAGCTCTCCTTAAGCTTCAAGAAATATTATCTATTTTCATTCCAACATTAATACACGTTCAATAACTATGATAAAATTTTAATTTCTTAGCCTTTAACCACAAGCATCATGCTGTTGTAGATAAGTTATTTTATGTTCTTTCTTACAATCTAGTCTATCAGAATATTTAAAAGTAATCTGGAATTACAGTGAAATTCCAAAACATCCAAACGGATTTGATACAGTCAACGTTATTAAAAGTTATTGTTTTCGTATCACATGCAGAGCCAGCAATCCTGAGGTGCGGCTGTGTATAGATATGTACATACACGTATACACTCATAAACTAACACACACATAAAAATAAAAGGTTTTATCTCATTACGTTGTTTTGTAGAGAAATTGATAATATATACTTTTAAAAAATCAACTGTTTCAAAAAATCGATTTTCAAAAGTCGATAAAATCGAATTTGAAGAGTATGTAGATGGGAAACTCAATTTTATTTTCTTGGTGGGGATGAAAACTTTAAAACAAAAAAACAATAAGCCTTGATTCAGGAAAATTGGTCGAAGAAGTTATGAGATTAAAACTGTTCGTACAGACATACATTCACACAACATTTTTTTATTTTATCTTCATACGTTATTCTGCAAAAAAACTGGTTGATCCATCAGATTTTTTAATATAAATTACGTTGTAATCACAATAATTAGTGAAAAAATCAATTTCTGAAAATTGATCACATTGAAATNTAAGTATACAGTCCTGGCCGCGCTAAGCTTTTTTTTTTTGTAATATTGGTGAAGAAGTATGTAAAAAATTATAATTTTTTATTTTCTTTGTATGGCATAATGCTCATACATACATAAATTTTAGTAACACTTAGTTATACGATAATACAAACCGCGAAAGTGTTTTTCTGTAAAAAAAGGTTATTGTTATGAGTCAATTAATATTTACTTAAATGAATAACGTTTACTACAAATTACTCAGTAAGTTTATATAAATCAACAAAACTTACATAGTCTTAGAAAATAAAAACTGAACTTATATTTGTTATATAATTATAAAATAAAAATAATTTTAAAAACAAAACTTCAATCATTCATACTTAAATAAAACTTTGACATTTTTTTAACTACTTTGACACCAAAATTTGTAAGTGTAAGCATAGTACACTGCCTGTGGCTTTATTTTCAAACTACGAAATTAGGTTTCTTGAAATTATCCATCGCATGAAAATACTTGAAATAATTATAACCATGAAGAAAAATACAGCAACGATAACTATCACGTTAGCGAGCACTAAACAAAGTTTTTATGCCCATTGAGTTTGTTTTACAACATACAAAGTATGAATGCAATTAGACACATTACTGTTTCTTCTCATATATAAGAGAATTAGAGTCTGCAATGTCATCTGCTTTTTAGTTTTTATTCCATACATGAAAACAGATTTCTGCTATATCTATCACTCTCACCATTTTAGGGTATTACAGAGAAAATTGAAGTTTCCTGCCTTGTCAGTTAGGTTGATGTAATTTTTCAGCCTTATAACATTATTTATTACATAGCATTTATTAAATAACTAGATGTTTTATTATGAAAGGAAAGGTTGACACAAATTCTTGACATTTCTAAGAATACTTCATAACCAGACTGCGAGATTCATTGAAAGTTGTATGAGAAAGACGTAAAATTAGATGTTATTAGAAATAGCTCAAATACAGCTACTTATATTGTAAGAAAAGTTAAAAAACTAGTGTGTACTTAGGTGCTCATAATCTAAGATGTAGGCTCAGTAAAACCTATGATAATTCACGTTTCGTATCTTTCTTAACGAAAATGACAGTTTGCTGATTTCAGGCAAAAAGTAAGATGATCTCGATATTGGCATTTTTTTATTTATAGAGCAGAGACTATGTAAATACTTTCATACGTTTCAAGGCCTTACAATTATAAATTAGATGTTTTAATAGAAATAAATTATTTATAATTATTATTAGTCAAATGCATATGATAAAGGCTCTGAAAAATATTATTTTAAATTCAAAATGGAACACCACGAAATTCTTTTAATTAAATAACAAATAATCTTTAAAAAAAATTTGTTTTGTATGAAGTGTGTGTGTGCACTGTCTTTACATCAAATATTAAAATAACAAAACTTTTCCTCTTATATTGACAGTATTACCGTATGTGTGTAAAAAATTTTTTTGGATCCAATACTATGAATCAGAAAAGTAAAATTTTACATTTTCCAACAGAACAAGTATGTACTGATATTAATTTGACTTTGAAATTCAACTTCTGGTGTTGATTGTTAAGGTGGCTCTTTCATGACTCCCGAGTCAATGGTGCAACTATCAAGTTGATATTTATTGATACTGCTTAAATTTCAAACGATGATTTGTTATTATTGTTTATTGGGTTAGATTAAGTATTGTGTTTCTTTTAATGTCTTTTGATTAATTACGTGAACATATGTCTTTCGAGATGGTCGTATTTTCAGTTTTGCGTAAGCTTTATTGTATCAGATTTTTACTTAATAGTGTTCAGTAAATAAATAACTAATAGACTACAACTTACAGTGAAGAAATACTTAGTTGCCATACGAGCACACGTTTAGAATTTACTTTTCATTTATCATTTTCTTGCATTTATATTCGTCAGCCTACTTTTAAATTTTAAGGGATTGCATATTGTTACTCAATAAATAATTCCTTAAGGTTTCATGTTATTCTGTTTATAATCATTTCATGAAAAAACCACCTTGAGTGTACTAGGGTTTGTTTCATGCTCCCACATAAAATTATCCCACAAATATTACATTTTCTCGTACAAATAAATAAAAGTTCCCGTAAAAAAACTTTTTTTCTTAATACCCATGAATAGTCTAAATGAATCAAAACAGAAAAATAATTCCATAAACACTGGAGAATTTACAAGATGATAACAAATACGTAAATCTGTGAGGAGTGGTTTGTCTCTGTGACCATATGATTTAATCATCATGGTTTTCGCTTGGAATCGGAGCATTGTCGTAGTTTTCGCTTGGGATCAGAGAATCGTTGTAGTTTTTTGCTAGAGGTCTGGGGAGGTAACAGTTTTTGTCAGAGGTCTTGAATTATAATAATTTTAACCCCATGCATTGATACTAATAATCGTCTGATAATTTCTGACATTTATTTTTTTATGATTAACATGCTTATGACATAGATTTTCCACACTGATAGTTTTGTTTTATGGAAATTTTTTGAGGAGATATGGCCATATATTCAAATTTGAAATCGTAAATTGCATACATTACAAGCCGAATAAAATACTATCATCAGACACATATTTTATGGCAATTGAAAATTCTTAAGTTTATACTACAGTAGCTAATGTTGTTACGAACGGAACGATCAATTTACCAAATTTCTTCTTACGGTGGTGTAAAAAACAAAAAACCGTTTTTACCTTTAAAATATTTAACGAATAGTTAAGAAAACAATGTCTTGAATCACCCATATTCGAACAACGTACCTGAATTATGGTTGTAAGTCTTGTTGGAGGACAACATTCGGACAAGTCAAAAACAATGTGTTAGTAAAAGGTAATAAAAATTATAAATTGTTTTAATTAACAGTAAAAAAATGAAAAGCTACTAAGTGATCTCATAATATCCTCTGAACATAACATTTACACTATAAATTATAAAACTAATATAGTAATATGTCCACTTAAGTGTAAAGAAAATACACTGGTGTAAGATGAACAAAAACATAAAAACTTAATCGACAAGTTAAGAAACCACAGACGAATAGTTTATTATTTTTATTATTTATCATGTTTACTTAAATGAATAACGTTTACTACAAATTACTCAGTAAGTTTATATAAATCAACAAAACTTACATCGTATGAACACAATTCTATTGCTAAAAGAAAAGGATAATATTTCATCGTTTTTTTTTTAAAGTTAATTTATCAGCCAAAAGATCTATTTTATGTTGATTAATTCATTTTTTAACATTTTTCAATTAAGAATCCAAATCAATTTAATCTACTAGTAATTTTTCGTAGTTCTCTTTCAAATTTTTGCGTTTGCAAATTTAAGTTTCGTGTGTCTTATAAGATTTTTTTTC